ATGTTCTGAACATGACTGCAGACGTTTCAGACAACACCCAGTTCCTTTCTGTTATCCCACCATTTGTCAATCCAATGCCTCTTCTTTTCATTTTTAAGGAGACTCAGCTCTACATTGCTATGATTGAAGTCCCACTGGAGGGTTCCCCTGCGGCCTTTCACAATGACATTGAACCTTGTTGTGGGACAATGGTCTTTTATCTTGTCACTTGTATTATTTAATGAAATGCTGACTGGCCAGTAGCCAGGCAAGAAGTATAGGTTGGAGTGACCATGCAGGAAGTAGAGGTGGGGCAACGAGAATTCTGGGAAGAGGAGAGGCACAGTCTGTAGTTGTCACCCTGACTCAGAGGAAGCAAGATAAGACTGCCTTATCTTAAAAAGGTACCAAGCCACATGGTTAACAGAGACAAGAATTATGGTCTAATTTAAGATGTAAGGAAGAGTTATTAAGAAGCCTTAGCTAATGGGCCAACCAGTTTACAATTAATGTAGACCTCTGTGTGCTTCTTTGGGGCCAAACAACTGTGGGACAGGGCAGAACAGAAACTTCTATCAACGGAATAGTGCTCAACATGTGGACAACTGCATCCACATAAAACCTGAGAGAGCTTGTGAAGTAATTCTAGACACAAAATAACAGTGTTAAGCATGGCTTTTTGGTAGCAGCTATTTCTTGGGTTTGCTCTCTTTGCTAGAGTCAAGCACATCTCATTTGAGAGAGGCTCCCTGACTCAGCTTTAGCTGCAAAGCTTTGCAACTCTTTTAAAATGCCCTACCACCAAACACTTAAATGGTGTTTATGAATTGCCAACGACATGCTTCTGGTGGTGTCAGGGACCTTGAAATTCCATAGACTTGTGGCAATAAACATGGCTCCAGCCAGCACTTCTGCCATGAAGCTAGGCTCTTAGAAAGCTAAGGAATGGGTTGGATCCAGCAATCAAAGCCATGGCTTTAATCCCAGCCATATCATTTAGCAAATTGAAGACTTATGTGGTCAGAAAAAGAGAGATATACAGTAAAGATAGATTCAGATGAACAAAACCTCTAAATGGTTTACAGTGTGTTTAAAAATATATGTAGGCTTGTGAGAGAAAAGAAAAAGGGTAAAGTCCTTAAAATAAAAAAGAAAGAGTAGTTGGGTGTGATGGCACACACCTTTAATCCCAGCACTTGGGAGGCAGAGGCAGGCAGATCTCTGTGAGTTCAAGGACAGCAAAAGATACACAGAGAAACCCAGCACAAAAAGCCAAAAATTGAAAATAAAAATAAAAGAAATAGATTTAAAATAAAGCCATGCAAAGATGAAAAATACAAAGATTCTGGATGCTATATGCTATTGTGTTGTTTTTAAATTGTTTGATGGGTGAGAAAGGAGTAAAAGCTGCTAAAAGATATTTGATTATAAATGCTACTGGATTAATTTAACATATATATTTTGAAAATGCATTGACTTCAAAATTTAAGTTAAAAGGTATTTTACTTTGGAGAAGAGGTTTTGTTTTTGTTTCCACATCAAACGAGAGGCTGTAGATTCATTCTGGGCTAAGAAAAATCAGGTTTGATCGAGGAGGACCACCTGAAGAATCTCCAATAGGAGCAGATGGTCCAGATGATCCAACATTTCAGAGGACCTCTGTTGGAGTTTCCTCCAAGCTCTGCATCCAGAACACTTTCAAGACTGCTGGCTGAGATGATCAAGACTCACAGGATTTTCCAGTCAGAATTTGACCATAATCTTAAATTTTCTTTAGGTCCCTATAAGATTATCAGTGCCCCCAATCAGCAAAAAGTAGCCTGGAAAACTATGCCCACATTCCCCAAAAGTGGCTTATGGATATTTATCTTTGTTTAGAGTGTTGGTTATAAGATGTTATGAATAATGGTCTAGACAAAAAGCTAAACAAAGGATATTTGATACAGAGTTCTTGGTTTTTTTTTAAAGAGGGGTAAGTGTTGTGGGACAATGGTCTTTTATCCTGTCACTTGTATCATTTTAATAAAATGCTGATTGCCAAGTAGCCAGGCAGGAAGTATAGGTGGGATGACCAGGCAGGAAGTAGTGGTGGGGCAGTGAGAACAGGAAAATTCTGGGAAGAGGAAAGATTTAGTCTGCAGTTGTCACCCAGATTCAGAGAAAGCAAGATGGGAATACCTCACTGAAAAAGGTACCAAGCCATGTGGCTAACACAGACAAGAATTTTGGGCTAATTTAAGATGTAAGAAAAAGTTCATAAGAAACCTGAGCTAATAGGTCAGTTAGTTTATAATTAATGTAGACCTCTGTGTATTTTTTTTGGGGAGGGGGAGTAAACGGCTATAGGATTGGGCAGGACAGAAACCTTAGTCAACAGAACCTCTTCAGAGTGATGTTGACATTTTCTGGGATGTCAACTGTCTGATTGCTGAGAATGGTCACCATTCTCGAAGTAGATGTGGCAAAAAGTGCTCTATGAATGATTTTCTTTTAATTCTTTGAGGGAGGCTATTATATCCTCATATTACTCTGGTTCAGTCTTAACTATTGTATGTGGGGTAGAGGTAACTCCATTGGCTCTCATTTTGCCCAGCCTTTAGTATTTGTACTCTCAGACAGGTGAAATTCTCTGATAACATTGTATAGTTTGTACATTTTCTCATAGTGTGTTTTCTTTACAGGGAATAAATAGAAGTGATATACTCCTGGAGGAGAATAACTGCTTGGCCTTCTTATACTCTTCCACATCTGTATCCATCTACAGATGTTCATTGCCCTTTCTATTTTATGAAATTGACATGTTATGGTGAGCTATGCTCATCCCACTAGACCCCATGTGGTCTGTACATTAGAATGGAATCAATATATTTACGTCTAAGTGTGAAACTTCTGGTCATCCTGTATGACCCTCATTTTTAGGCAATCTTTGTCACCCTATCAGAGGAGCTACTCTGAGAGTTCCTACTCCATGGAATTCTATGCTTTTAACACAGAGAGTGCTACAGATGTGGCATAAACTCTTATCCCTCTACCTACCTAGATTACTTACTGTTCTGAGCTTCCCATAAACTTACCAATATTAGGTTCACTATCATCATTATCATGTGGCATACCAGGATGGCTCAGATCCTGCCATATTACTTCTGCAACATGTTTTTTTTTCAAACTTTTTGCTTTGCCCTTATTTCCATCTATTTATTTTACTTCATAACAAAGTCTTATTTTGCAATGCAAAATCAGTTCTTATAAAAAACATTCTCTTACAACTTTCTTTACATCCGTCTATCTCCTACTTACTAGTTCCTTTCTATTCATTGCTTTTGTTAATTTACTAAAGATATTTTACTTAAAGATCTAGTCATGAAACATAATAATGTAACAAAATGTACTAATTTGTTAAAAAGTGATACATATAAATTGTATTTCTGACATAAATTTATAAATGACTACACAATAAAACAGTACAAGCAGAAAAGCAGAAAATCCCAAATCTTTATATATTAACTCTATAATTACAGTTAGTTTTAGGATACAAAAGATAACTAGTGTCCCAGAGAACAGGGAGATATTAGATGGATACTTTTCCCACAGAGGACTAGCGAAGGTACAGCCCAGTGTTGTAGACTACAGAGGAAACTCACTGTTGAGTCTAGCATGGCAGTGACACCAAGAGTACTTTTCTCCATATTGTCCCATTATATCTTATTTTTTAAAATTTATTTTTCCATTCAAAAATCTCCACTTCCTCCCCTCCTCCCATTCCCCTCTCACTCCCCCACTCACCCTACTCCCTTCCCTTCCAGTCCTGAGAGAGGGCAGGGTATCCTGCCCTGTGGGAAGTCCAAGGACCTCCCTCTTCCATCCAGATCTAGAAAGGTGTGCATCCAAATAGACTAGAATCCCAAAAGGCCAGTACATGCAATAGAGACAAATACCAGTGCCATTATCAATGGCTTCTCAGTCAGCCCTCATTGTCAGCCACATTTAGAGGGTCTGATCTGATCACATGCTCATTCAGTCCCAGTCCAGCTGGGTTTGGTGAGCTCCCATTAGAACAGACACACTGTCTCAGTGAGTGAACCAACCCCTTGTGGTTCTGACTTCCTTGCTCATCTTCTCCCTCCTTCTGCTCTTCAACTGGACCTTGGGAGCTCAGTCCAGTGCTCACATGTGGGCCTCTGTCTCTATCTCCATCCATCACTGGACGAAGATTCTATGGTGATATTCGAGATTTTCATCAGTGTGACTATGAGACAAGGCCAGTTCAGGCACCCTCTCCTCTGCTGCCCAAGGACCTAGCTGTAGATATCTTCTTGGACACCTGGAAACCCTAGAGCCTTGTCTCAATTTTCTGGAGATATGTACAATAAATTTTGCCCTCTGAATTAGGACAAAAGAGACCATAGAATGATTTGAACATGTTAGGTTGACAAGTAAATTAGTTAATTATGGAGTAATGGATGACTTATAGGCAGCTGCATCTACTGACATTACCAACGTATGCCTTCCAAGTTCTTAATTTATAGAGCTCTAAATATATATTGCTCCCAGAAGATGGCAGAAATAAACAATACCTAGAAAGGAACTGTGTGTGTGTGTGTGTGTGTGGACATATATGACATATTTAGCTTCATTAGAAATTTCTTTTTTTTTCCCACAAGGAAGTTGTTGCCCCTTTATTGTTGACCTGGGCAATTTTAGGGAGAATAACATTCAGTTAATTCTGACTGAAAACATTAAAACACACAAGATGAACCTATGCCATCACCTTGGCCACAAGGACAGACAAGGTGATGGCAGGTTTCCCTTATGCTGTAATAAATCAATGCAACTTGATCATACTCCATCACCTTCTACGTTAACTAAGTAATCTGAAAAGGTGATTTTTCTTTAAATTTACAAGTACAATGTACATGATGAGAATAATTTAATACGTTAACCTCAGATACAACTATATTCTAAGACCATTATTGTAAAGCAACGGATCCTTACAAGGCCAAAATAACCCATATACCATGAGGTTGGTTTAGCCTTTCTTTTTTATGCTCTTTCAACAAATGTGCACCACGATGCTCCAACAGCAAGGCTAAAGCCATGAATACAAAAGCTGCGATTTGTGAGGTACCAACCACATCTAGAACCAGGGAGGCCAATCAGACAGAGTGAGTGTCTCGTTAATTAATTAATTCTAATTAAACGATCAGGTGACATCACAACACTCTGGGGTGCAGCACTGAAAATGTCCATTAAGTTTATTTTTTCTTGATGATCAGAGGTCCCACGTTGTCGCCAGTCTCTTCGTTATGTTTTATGTGAGCCCCATCACAGAATGGAAACTTTTTGGACCTCCAGCAGCGGCAGTACACAGCCTTATCTCCCAGGTCCTCCATGGCGAAGGCGTGCACGACCTTGGGGTTGTCTTTCTGGAGACGGAGGTTCACCATAGCTTTGGTACGATTATCTTTACCATAGAACTTTTTGTAAGCCAGGTAACCGAGAGCATCTGTCCCAGCAGCAAATGTCACGGCTGCAATCCACTCAACTCGAACTGAGGAGTCGTAGTCGAGGCCCATGGCGTGGGCAGCGGGAAGGCCGTGGCAGGACCGCGCGGGCGAGCACTGGGGACAAGAGAGACCCGGGCAAGACGCGACCTCCGGGAACACTTCCAGTCACCTCATTAGAAATTTCAAAGGTCACAGCATACACTATCAAACTTTTGGACAGATTGCTTTGTTTGCGTACAGCCCCAGTATACAAAACAACTAAATGATGGCCATCTGTAAAATGGTGTTACTTTGGCCAGGATGTAGAGGACTGTTTTCCCCAGAAAGCTACATTGTTCATTATTACTGTCTTTTCAGATATACTTATCTCTGACCCTTTGATGCTTCTGAGGGCAGACTCACCACTCAGGCATCATGATAGAGGTGATAGAAAGTATGAAGTGAAAAGTAGAGCAAGGTTGTAGATAGATAGTGTTTATAGACTTTCTGTTCCATGTCTTATTTAGGAATGGTTTTTCAGCTTGATCCATACAAAATTAATCTTTGATTTAGTACAAAATCTAGAGAAATGTGACCATGGTTATATTTATTTGTTCAATGAAGGGTCCAACAAGGAGCTAAGCTCCCTTGAGACAAATGAGGATTACTATATATGGTGGGAAGAATGAACAAATAAGAAGTAATCATTGTATTAAAATTGTTTTAGTGTCTAACAGCTCAGGCTAATTTGCTAGCTCCTCGAGGATAGAAACCTTGATTTCAACTTTTCTATATTTCCAGTTTTGAATTCAGTTCTGGACAATTGAGGTGCTTATTCATACAAGAGATATCCATTTCTACATGTTATTCATAGCATGTTATCCAGTCTGTGGTGTGGGAATGGAATCAGCAAATACTTTCTCATAATCAGTACACCTAGTCTTTGTCCTTGGACTGTAGGTGATGGCTTAGACAATTAGATAACCTATTTAAAAAGTTTAGAGTCTGGAGAGATAGCATAATCAATAAAGTGCATGAGCACAAGGACCTGAATTTGATCCTTAGGACATATATTTAAAAAGTCAAACATATTGGCATGTGCTTATAGCCCCAGAGCTGGAAAGATAGAGACAGGTGGATCACTAGGGCTCAATGGACATCAAGTCTAGCTGGCTTGGTGAGCTCAAGGCCAGTGAGAAACATTTTCTCAAAAAGATGTAACAGCAGATAAGGAACATGGAATGAGAATATCCAAGGTTGTTCTCTGACCTCTACACCCACAAAAAATGTATGTGCACGTGTATCTTCATACACACAAACACACATGCAAGCATACTACGTGCTCGCACGCGCGCGCGCGCGCACACACACACACACACAGAGACAGCTGGACAATCAATTAACAACTGAAGACATCCTTGTTCCAAAACTCATGGGATTTCATAGTTCAGGCAAATGACTATTTCTCAGGTGCCTGCTATGTGCTAGGTGCTAGGATAATAGAAATTAATCACACTTTTCACCTTCAAGGAGCTCCCAGGCTGGTAATAGAGGCATATAAATAATTAAAGCACTAAAAATGCATAAGCACATGTAGTCACAGAGAAGGGACATCTCTTTCAGCTGCTGGGTCAGCTAGGGGAAGCTGGCATAACTTTAATGGTTAGATTGGTCCTTTAGCAAGATGTGAGAAATGAGGGATCACTTGGCCCAGAGTGGAAGGAAAGAAATCAAATACTGAAGCGCCTTGGTGGGGGAGTTGAGGGTAGATCACAGTGTAGGCAGATTTCAGATTCTCAACACTGCCATTGGTAATATTAGTGCTGCTGCTTCACTTTGCATTGTTTCTCAACTAACGTCTAAGTTATCTTTTGGAGGCACAGGAATTCAAATTCTGGGCTGCTTATTCATTTTAACTCCTTACCTAGTTTTGATAGGGAGGTTTCTTATATTTATATTTTCCTTGATTCTTTAGCCAGAGAAGCTTTATTTGGGTCATCCTATCACCTTCTTGCTCATCAGTGTTCATTTCTCTGGCAGTGCTCCTGATGATGGATCAAATTGTTTATAATGGGGAACAGAAAAGCATCTAAAAATGCATAATATTCTAGTGATTTTATAAGCCATAGGAAACTTTGAAACCCTTTCCATACCCCAAACAACTTTAAGACTCATTTCATCTTCCTAAATATAGGAAAGCGAGCAGTAAATTGCATGTACACCCAGAACCATAGAAAAGCCCCCAAAAGAGAGCATGGGCATACAAAGTGTTCAGCAAGGTGACCGAGTTGTTGAAAAAAGGTCTATTTAGTGTTATTGGGTTGTGCCTTTCCTTTCTTTTTTTTAAAAAAAAAAAATTTTTAGTTGTTGAGAAAAAAAAATTTCCGCCTCCTCCCCATTTCCCATTTCCCATTTCCCTCCCCCTTCTCCCACACATTGCCCCCTCCACCCACTCCCCTACCCCTCTCCCCCTCCCCACCCCACTCCATTCCCCTCCCTATCGAGAATGAAGAGCAGTCCAGATTCCCTGCCCTGTCGAAAGTCCAAAGTCCTCCCCCCTCCATCCTGGTCTAGGAAGGTGAGCATCCAAACAGGCTAGGCTCCCACAAAGCCAATACATGCATTAGGATCGAAACCTAGTGCCATTGTCCTTGGCTTCTCATCAGCCTTCATTGTCCACCATGTTCAGAAAGTTCGGTTTTATCCCATGCTTATTCAGTCCCAGTCCCGTTGGCCTTGGTGAGCTCCCAATAGATCAGTTCCACTGTCACAGTGGGTGGGTGCACCCCTCGTGGACCTGACTTCCTTGCTCATGTTCTCCCTCCTTCTGCTCCTCATTTGGATCTTAAGAGCTCAGTCCAGTGCTCCAGTGTGGGTCTCTGTCTCTATCTCCATCCATCACCAGATAAAGGTTCTAAGGTGATATGCAAGATATTCATCAGTATGGTTATAGGATAGGGTCATTTCAGGTTCCCTCTCCTCAAGTTGCCCAAGGTACTAGCTGGGAACATCTCCCTGGACACCTGCGAGCCCCTCTAGAGTCAAGTCTCTTGCCAACCCTAAGGTGGCTCCCATAATTAGGATATATATTTCTCTGCTCCCGTGCCCACCCTTCCTTTATCCCCACCATCCTATTCCCCGAGCTCCCCTAATCCTCCCCTTCTCACGTTTCTCACCCCAATTCACCTTAGCCCCATGCCACCTCACCCCCAAGTTCCCAGTTTTTGCCCGGGAATCTTGTCTACTTCCCATATTCAGGCAGATTACTATATGTTTTTCTTTGGGTTCACCTTCTTATTTAGCTTCTCAAGGATCACAAATTATAGGCTCAATGTCCTTTATTTATGGCTAGAAACCAATTATGAGTGAGTACATCCCATGTTCATCCTTTTGGGTCTGGGCTACCTCACTCAGGATAGTGTTTTCTATTTCCATCCATTTGCATGCAAAATTCGAGAAGTCATTGTTTTTACCGCAGCATAATACTCTAATGTGTATATATTCCACACTTTCTTCATCCATTCTTCCATTGAAGGGCATCTAGGTTGTTTCCAGGTTCTGGATATTACAAATAATGCTGCTATGAACATAGTTGAACAAATGCTTTTGTCATATGATAGGGCATCTCTTGGGTATATTCCTAAGAGTGGTATTACTGGATCTTGGTGTAGGTTGATCCCAAATTTCCTGAGAAATCGCCACACTGATTTCCAAAGTGGTTGCACGAGTTTGCATTCCCACCAGCAATGGATGAGTGTGCCCCTTACTCCACAACCTCTCCAGCAAAGGCTATCATTGGTGTTTGATTTTAGCCATTCTGACAGGTGTAAGATGGTATCTCAAAGTTGTTTTAATTTGCATTTCCCTGATCGCCAAGGAGGTTGAGCATGACCCTAAGTGTCTTTTGGCTATTTGAATTTCTTCTGTTGAGACTTCTCTGTTCAGTTCAGTGCCCCATTTTTTAACTGGGTTAATTAGCATTTTAAAGTCTAGTTTCTTGAGTTCTCTATATATTTTGGAGATCAGACCTTTGTCTGTTGCAGGGTTGGTGAAGATCTTCTCCCAGTCAGTGGGCTGCCTTTTTGTCTTAGTGACAGTGTCCTTTGCTTTACAGCAGCTTCTCAGAAGCATCACCTTTCACGATAGCCACAAATAGCATAAAATATCTTGGGGTAACTCTAACCAAGGAAGTGAAGGATCTATTTGACAAGAACTTTAAGTCTTTGAAGAAAGAAATTGAGGAGGATACCAGAAAATGGAAGGATCTCCCTTGCTCTTGGATTGGGAGGATAAACATAGTAAAAATGGCAATTCTACCAAGGGCAATCTATAGATTCAATGCAATCCCCATTAAAATCCCAACAAAATTCTTCACAGATCTTGAGAGGACATTAATCAACTTTATATGGAAAAACAAAAAACCCAGGATAGCAAAAACAATCTTATACAATAAAGGAACTTCTGGAGGCATTACCATCCCTGACTTCAAACTCTATTACAGAGCTTCAGTATTGAAAACAGCTTGGTATTGGCATAAAAACAGAGAAGTCGATCAATGGAATTGAATAGAAGACCCTGACTTTAACCCACAAACCTATGAACACCTGATTTTTGATAAAGGAGCTAAAAGTATTCAATGGAAGAAAGAGAGCATCTTCAACAAATGGTGCTGGCAGAACTGGTTGTCAACCTGTAGAAGAATGAAAATAGACCCATATCTATCACCATGCACAAAACTCAAGTCCAAATGAATTAAAGACCTCAATATCAGGCGGAACACACTGAACCTGTGCCTTTCCTTTCAACTTGTACTGTGCTGTCACCTTATCAGTTGTGGTTCACCAGGAGTCGCCTGAGGGCAACTTTGACTTCCTTGTTTCTCAAGCTATAGATCATAGGGTAGAGCATTGGGGTTACGTTGGTATAGATTAAGGACACAATTTTGTCCTGTTCTGGGGTGTAGCAGGACTTGGGACGAATGTAAATGAAAATTGCACAGCCATAGTGCATGACAGAGACCAGCAGGTGGCCAGCACAGGTGGAGAAAGCTTTGCTCCTGCCTTCTGCTGAATGGATTCTGAGGATGGCAGCAATAATGAATCCAT